AGATGCTGGACCATTGGAGTTTTACTGTACCATGTACTCCCTGTTGTTGCCTGAGGCTGCCTGAAGACTCTCTTGGGAGATGTACACAGATAGTTCTGAGATAGTGTTCAGATCCTGCAGCTGTCCATAGAAGTGGCAGTCTGCACCTCTAATCTGGAGTGACCATATCTGGGACACCTACCTCCTTTATTTTCACATGGCACAGCTGGGTATCCCTAGTGTAGCCTTTTTCCACCAGGCCCTGTGCGATTTAGGCAGATATCAGCATTTCTTTTGCTGGTTCTTAGTTCTCCCCAAACAGATTCTTCTCTCCGCACAGCAATCAGATCCAGTATCTCTGCACCCAACATGGCCAAGCTCGTTTGTAACTCTGGGTGTCCATGGTCAGATATGCTGCTGGGCTCAAAGTTCAAGAGTTTGTGTGCATTTTCCTTGGTTCCTGAGAGCACAGCAGAGTTAAGTGCTGTCTACGGCAGTCATTTCCGGGACCTGCGGGACACTTCCCGGAGGCAAGAACATCAACCTGAACTGAAGGTCAAATTTAGTGCTATTCCTCTCACTGAGATGGAGTATCAATGTCAACTTTAAAAGCTCTTACAGTCAGGAGAAGGGACTTGGTGGTGTAGACAAATTCATTATACAATCAGCCTAATATGGCTAACTTTGATCTAACCTCATAGTGTAGACCAGGCTTTAGTAAGCAGCTCCGTGGAGTCAAGTATTGTCATTCTCACTGAGGAACTCTTCAGATGGGAGCTACACCTTTGCTGCTAATGCAATTTTACATATGAACAAACTGCTCCAAGAAAGCGACCTGGTAGACCAATGGAGTCATTAACATGACATATCTGTTGGTGACAGAACAGTTAATACTGAGCACTATTTACACCTTTAATGAAACAGATGTTACACTTGAGTCACTTAATTTTGTGTTTGAGTTCAATTTCTATATTCCCCTAAGCATTAACTTTCATTCCCACTTTCCAACTTTAGTAACATGAGAACTCTCCCAAAAGCCAAAGTAAAATATAATTCGCTTTACTGGAAAAGCATTTAGTGTCCAATGCTGTTTCTCATTCACAATCATTAAACTGACTTTGCAATTTCGTATTATTTTATCAAAGCAACACCCATTAGACAGAGGTCAAGTTTAGCAGAGGCAATCGTGTTAATTTAGTAGACACTACATGCTGTTCAAAATCATTAAAATAAACTTCAAATTATACAGATTTAATTGTAGGAAGTTTATTAATTCACAATTTGTTTAATATTTCAGCACTCCAAGAAAATTACTTGGAAAACACTGCTTTTAACAGATTTGAAAAAGTTTGTTAGGCTTTGCAAAACATTCAGGGTGGGGATGTTTGGTTGGTTGGCTGTTTTTTCGTGTGAGACGAGCGTAGACTTGGCTTGTTACTGAAAGAGAACCATATTTGCTCTTCAACTAAAGATTTCACGTCCAAGCAAGCCATCTTGATGCAAATCATTTTTCTTGTCATGATATCAAAGTCCTAATTTCCAGGATCCAGTTACTCTTCTGGACCGGGGCCATCATTGGTTGCAAAGAATGATCTCACCTTATCATACAGTCCAGGTGTAGGATCTTGTTTATATGTTATCACTGATGTGACATGAAAACCTAGTTGTGGTTCATTCGGAGGGATGCTTTCTTTACCTAATAAAAAAAAAAAGCCAGCTACTCTTAACCACTCTCTAGTTTCCCTGCTTTTGGCTGCCAACACAGCTGTATCAGAGTACAGTAACAACTATCTTTTTAGTCCGTTTTTGTGGTTCACTTCATTGCTTCCAAAATTTTGGAAGGAATAAATATCGCGGTTAGAAACAATTTAAACACTCATTTTTACATCTTATGTTTAATTTAGTACATTTGGATGGCTCAAATTGGTATTGGCACCTGAATTGTCATAATGCACCAATGAAGTTTACCCCTTGCAATGAATACCCTTGACAGCCTTGTCTGCACTGTCAACCAAATTTCAGCTTGGTTTTGAACTTATTAAGTCTTCTTGGTGTACACAAGACCACTGAAAACAAGACTAATCCTAAAAATATTTGGCAAGCATGGAAGCCCTTGCGGAGTTCTTGTGTATGGACAGAGTGTTGTTTACAAGCCTGCTGCGAGAACAGAATGGTTCTTCAGCACCTTAAGTGCACCCAGTGCAGACAGAGCCTACAAGCGAAACGCTCAGGCTCCAGGATCGTTCCCTTTTGGCCCCTTTGCTGAAACTTGCCAAAGAGAGCAGCAAGGCAGGGTTTGCAAACAGCCTCCACGTTTCTGACACCTCTACGCTACAGCAAAGAGGAGAGCAAATATTTCTGCAACAAAACGGCCAAGATTCCTGTCTAGCTCACCCAGCAGCTCAATCAGGGTTGCAAGCGCCGCCCCCCGTTGTAAGTCCCCTGCAAGCGACAGGCCAAGCGCAGCTCAGCGGCTGGGCTACCGGGGCCTCGCTCTGCACTGAGCCCTCACTCTGGCAGGCCCAAGTACGCTACAGCAAAGAGGAGAGCAAATATTTCTGCAACAAAACGGCCAAGATTCCTGTCTAGCTCACCCAGCAGCTCAATCAGGGTTGCAAGCGCCGCCCCCCGTTGTAAGTCCCCTGCAAGCGACAGGCCAAGCGCAGCTCAGCGGCTGGGCTACCGGGGCCTCGCTCTGCACTGAGCCCTCACTCTGGCAGGCCCAAGA